GACAAGTAAAAACTATACAGGGGGTAGCAAAAACATATATATTTTTCCCTGTGACAATAATATCTATTATATTATAGCGTATCCCCCACACGCCTAGAATCGCAGAACATAATAATATTATCTTGAGACGACGGCTCTGGTGTGTGGCGGTGGAATAATGAAAAAAAGAAATAAAGCAAATTGTACGCGACCGGCAATCTTAAAATAAAGGTTAAAAGTACAATACATTTTTTTTCTTCTTCTTCTTCTAATGACGACCCAGTAAAAACCTTAACGATGTGTATATATATATATATAGAGCTGGGGCATGACGACCAAGACGGAGATTGTTGCAAACGGCCATTACGCTGCTTGAACGGTCCGTTATAATCGGTTTGTTTGTCGGCGGGGGCGACTATGTATAATGAGCAAACCGTGCGAACAGGGTCGGTGTCGTCAGTCTTATCCACGAAGCAGTGAGCTCGAAAGATTCAGTCAGTCGGTCAGAGTAAGTGTATAAAGTTTGTCAAAGGAATATAGTAAAAAAAAAAAACGATACTGCCGCAAGTGGGTCAAAGGCAGACGAAAACACTTAGACAGCAAAATCCCAGTCGAAGACAACGCGAACCTAACAAGTATAATAAGACAGAGAAAGAGAAAAAAATTGTACAGTTATAATAATATTTGCAATGGAATATTATTATCATTAGGTATACCCTTAGGTCGGAAACTATACATATAGGTACTATACATAGTTGTAACGGGTGCACGACCATTTCCCACGCTTAACACAATATATATATAGTATATTATGTTATTATCAAACTATGGGTTTGTTTCGTACACCTCTGTTCTCTCGAATTGTGAATAATAATTATTGACTACACAGGAAACCGGCTTGTTGCACTGGCCGACAGCATTGTAAACAAAAAAAATAATCAGCTTCCAACGAACAAATAAACGAAGGTAGGTACATAAAATTGTAATAAATATATCAGCTGTTATATTTCTAATTCCGTGCGGTTTCTGATGACATATCAGGTATCTGCGATGATGATTTGGGAACCGTCGGAGTTGAGAGTAGAATAATAATAATTTTAAATCATATTTTTGTGCGAGGAACAAGTAAATTAAAGAAGAGCTCTCTTCGTGTCTGTCCGCTCGGTCGGGCAGACATAATTTCGTTTCTTATACATCTATATATTATATATATCTATATTATCGTTAAGAATAAGGATGTATCATTTTCATGGAAACGCATCGGTCTCGTGTTCGATGACCCGAAAAAACCACGTCATGACCGATCGGATGTGACCATATAATAATATATATATATAAATAGGTATAGCGTGTGAAAAAATGCATTATTGGATTCGTCATGAAAACGCTGCAGCCAGACCGATTCAATATTTTAATAATAATAATAATAATATCTAATAACTAGATTTGTCGAGCTGGTCTCGAAGAAAAATATAATATATGCAAAACAAAGATATAATAAGACACACACACACACCAAATCCGGTTTGTCTTGGAACAGTGCAGTGTGTACAGTCGCGGCTAACATTATTCTTATACCGTCTTGGGGATACTCTAGTGTTTATACAATCTTATATAGGAAGCCTTGGATCGTCCTTCTTCGGATGCCGGAGCTATCGTACCTATACCGGTGTTCTCTATAAGACATGTAATATATAAAATATAGACCTCATTCAAGTTGTAATCGACCAATAGCCATAGAAGTGACATAATGACCGATGATAGGCTTTGGAGTCAAATACATTATCAGATTTTTTATTTACACGGTACCCAATACAGATGAGTAGTATTGAAATTGTGTAATATCCTTTCTTATATTGAATTATGACAGGGTGCTTTGTATCTTTGCAGGTCGACGGCCGTTTATTACACAGCCATCAGTCACGCGGAGTACCTGAATAAAATAATATGATAATCTCCTTAATTATTATTATACCGACGTCTAACCTAACCATCCATATAAACTATACTACGGCTGTTGTAAAAAATATACTTATTTGGTTTTTAGTAGGTAGCGTAAAGTAGATAATAATTTTCTATAATACTCGTTTACAAGTGTTGTTAAACGTTTTGGACACACACGTTGCAAGTGACGTGTCGAAACCCGAAAAATCGACACCAGAAGTCGGTCAGATAATATAATAATTATTATTAATGTACCGTATGGACGCGGTATTAAAATGGAATTTAATTACAACTAGAAAGTATATACGGTTAATGTAAAAATAATAATATATTTTTATAAACCTATACGTCATATGGAATCGTTGCCGGCTGTGACAGTCAGTCGCTTATGACGTATGGGAAGTCGTGTGTACCTACTTAATATAATATAATAATATTTAATATAATATTATTGTCTTTGAAAAATACCGAGAATCTTGAAATTCAGCTGTGCGACTCGAGATTAATTCTGCGAGCCACCCTGACTCAGGAGTTATAAGTCGTATGTTATAATATTGTCTTAAAATATAAGATTTGACAATGTCGGGCAGATCGTGCGGAAACCGATGACGGAGTGGGACTTTATATATTATTATATACCTACTATATACATTTTTTTATCGTCGACACGACTGTGTAATACTGGCCGACTGCACCGGAGAGGCTATTGAATTATTAATGAGCTGAAACTATGTCACTTTCCGTGTGCATACGGTTTTTTATTTTTACTACCGCTACATATTATGACGTTATCTTCAACACTGTCCAACTTATTCTCATATTATATTGTTCCTAGGGAGGGTTAGAGTGTCATCTTTTAAAAATATTAATCAATATAGCGTGGCTGTAGCGATGGCGGTATCCATGCAAGTTGGTGATTTATACAGAAATGGTTTGATTCGTTTTAAAATGGATATACCTAGCTATAGTATAGGTACGGTGAGAACCGAAAGGTGTAACAAGTGACATTTTGTTTAATGAGTAGTATACAATAATTTGGGCCATCGTTGACAAATCTAGAGGGGAAAAATATCTATAATTGTATGGTAAATAAATGGTGTGAGCTATCTGCGGTAGCTGTTGACCGAATAGGCCACCAAGTTGTTAGACAAGGTGCTGTATAGGAAAATATAAACCTATAAAAATAATATTATATTATATTGTACTGCGGTGGTGGTCATGCTCGGGTCTAACGGGATAAACTAGTATCCGGCATGGTGGCAACGTCTAAAGCTTGTACCTATTTGTAAATATGATATTCGAATCCGATAATAATACATATAGGTACAGATTCATCCGAGGTCGATATACGTTATGCCCAGCTTTGGTACGTTCGAGCGGAACTAAAAGGAGTAGATTGGGAAATTGCGCATGCAATATTTCTTAATGTGTGTGATTCATAAGGAAACCCCGAAATTGAGCAATTACTATATTATTATACTATTGTACCTATGTATGAACGAGTGCAGTGTGTTCGTAAACACTTGGGATCCGACACGGCTGCACGTTTTTTTTTTTATTCATCAACAGGTACACCCTATCCTTGAGAGCTAATGCGAAAGTCATGAAGTGGCTTACAATGTGTATCGATAAAGAAAAAACAAAACAAAAAAATTTCAGTCACTAATACACGTTCAAGCACAAGTTTCGATTATTATTATTATACTCACAGACCACGGCGTAGTAGAATTCACAATATCCAAGTACAATAATAATAATAATAAATGTTTTTAATCTGTAGATGCATTTTATTGCTTTAATAAAAAAAGTGTTACAGTATATTATAGAATATAGAGCATCCCTAGACTCTAGATATTTTCCCTCTTATTTACTTTGCTTAAGTATTCCGTATATTGAATAGCAAAAAAGTTCCAAAGCTTTTTAATACATATTTAGTTACAAAAGTAGCGTTCCTGGACAATTTCAAAAATGTCGGTTCACACCTTTATCCACCTTGAACCCTTCAATCGTAACGGTAAGACCAGCGGCGACTGTTATAAAGAAGTCAACACTTAGCGACTCAATTGACAATTTACATTTATTTGAGCCAGTGGCCTATTTACATAAAGGGAGATCAGGGTGATTTGTCAACCCTAGTTTTTTTTTTTTTATAAAATATTACTGTTAATACTGCTGAGGTAAATTGTTTATACAAAATTGTATTAAAAAAATAAAAACACATATATATTACTGTTAACTTAGAAGTTGTAGACGAAATGCCGGAAAAAATTAAATATTTTTTATTTTTATTACATTTAGTAAATAAACGTAAGGCAATCTCTAAAATATTTTAATCATATTTTTTTTTGTACAACAAACGTGTTTTGATAAAATGTGAACTTTTAAAAAATGTACTTCAAAGGCATATTTTTGTCTTATTGCAACAAAAGCATGGTACACCTTTTTTGGTTCGACCGTGGTACCTAACCGGCAATTTTTTTTTCCATATCACCTCTTAGAAAAAAAGTTTGTAAATAAGCTATTGAATTTTTAGCTTCGGTCTGACATTGAGCCACTTGTTGTCGATTTTATGTGCGTTACGTACATTATATTATTCTAAGTAGAGCTCGGATGTTAATGACCATACATTTATTGAAATATGCATTTTTAAATGTCAAAATTTGCAATTAGGTAAAAATATGCTTTTATTGAAAACGTGATTGCCGATTGGTGATGTTTTTAATTTTAAAAGAACGATGACAACTATTTTAGACATTTTAGAAAATATTGTACAACCAGAATTTTCATATAATATTGTGTTCTTTTTTTTTAGCTCATACAATGGAATATTCTTATTAATTATACTTACACTATGCTATTAAATCTAGAAATAATCATTATAGGCAAATAGATAAATGCTCGAAAGTGTCAAATATGCAATATAATTTTGCTGTTTTGAAATCTAGTGTTTGTGAATCGAATTTATATCGCATTTGGGTAAAAATCTAGTTTAATAAAAAAATAAACATGCAAAGTCATAAACATCCTAGCTTTAGACTTCTAAGTGTGTGCAGTGTATGTGTGTGTTTGCGCCTTACCTAGGTGTAAATCGATTTTTGGACTTCTCCCGAAGGAAGCTGGCGGAGGCGTACGCGGAGATGGCCGAACGACAAAGTTTCTTAGCAGCTGCAGCTAATAAGATAAGCGAGAAGGAATCGTAGGAAGGTATATAAAAGCGATCGGCAACGGGCAATTCGTTCGGGCCAATAACGTTAATGTATACTTTGCGGACGACGTGACGGTTAACTAAAAAAAATATAAAGCCACACTGCTGAAAACTCGCGTGCGAGATGCAACCGGTTTGCCTGTTGTTGGGGTATGCGCGTTTTTCGTGTAGAGTTTCGATCGCGACCGTGTCTTGAACAACACTGCGGTAACAAGACAAGACACTGGCGGTGGTCGCTGCTGCTGTTGCTGTCTTGAAGAGCCGTGGACGGGTGCACCAAACGGCGGCGGAGGCAAACCGGACATTCGGGAACCGGCGCATTTCCCCGGACCGCCGCGCCGATTCCGTTATCCCTCCACGCGCGCGGTGACCCCGAACCGCCGGCGGCGCGAAGACGTGCGCGCCGTTCTCGAGGACTTCCCCGGGAAAACAAAAAAAAATGAGTCCCGGATTCACACGCGCCAAAACCGCCGGACGAGAACGGGGTTTTTCCGCAGTCTCTTTTGTGGGTGTTGCCGCGAACAATAATAAAATATAATATATTATAATAACGACGTAATCATCTAATAATTATTAAATATTATTATCGTCACTTTTGTTGTTGTTGACTGTTGTGTTATCAAACGCGCCATCGCACAATGTGAATTGGTACACGCAAAAACGGTACACGGGAGCGCGGCCGAATAGGGAAGTGTTGAAACAATGTAATCATGATTAAGTAAATCAATATTCATTAAATAATTTTGTAATACAAGTAATCAGTAATCACGATTATAATTTGTAATCATTAATCATCGAATATATGATTGCATTAATCTTTCAATTGTAATCATGAAATAGATACAAAAAATAAAAATTGTTCATTTGACATTTTTTGACATTAACACTACACTTTTAAAATTAACAAACCCTTTATATTATTCACAGTTATTTATAAGAGCTACAAATAAATAAAAAAACCATAACGGTACACATGAATACAACTATAACATATTAAGGTACTACTCAGTCCCTTTACCTCCAATGGTGGTTAAAAAGCGTCCCCTTTAACAAATTATTCGTAAGGTACACCGTACCGCTCCAATTATAACTAAACATTAGTCAATATAATTCAGAATTCCGTTGAGATTAAATGTTGGTTTTTATTTTTTTATCGATTGTTACTTTACTTTTATCAAATTTATTTCATACAAATTATGAACTATCTAATATATGTGTAAAATTAATTGATTTTATTAGTTATTGTAAATGGCTATACTGTGGTAAATAGGTATTCGATTAGCCCATAAGTGATAACATATATAAAAAGGTAGTGTGAATGTGTGATTTTTTAAGCATGCTCACACCACCATGCGTAGAATTTGAATTTTTTCTTGTACAATTTAAAGCACTAAAAAGACTACATTTTTATGATGTATATATTTTTTGTCTGGGTTTTTTTTAGTTTTCTTAAAAGACAACCACTACTTACAACTTAATATTATTAGAAAACATATTCTCTTTCAAAATGTTAAATTTATATAAAACACGAGTTATTCTTAAAAATGTTGTATTATTTGTGATTTCAATTTTTTATGAAATAAATTACATATTTGAACATTATTCAGGGATAAAAGTGGGATGAGTATGTTACACAATCACTGTTTCTATATTACATATACTATATGCATTAGACCTTATACATAAAATTATATATGGAACGCTTTAAGCTACATGGAGACATTAGTCCCCCCTGTAATTTTTTCCCACTTTAAGCCCTGGTTGCGCCACTGAGCCTAAAACGGTTGAAAGAACGTAATCATTAATCATTTCATGATTGCACTTGAATGATTAATGTAATCAAGATTATAAATGAATAATTAATGTAATCATAAATGTAATCATGATTACAACTACATCACTACAGTTAGATCACTACATTACATCACCTACATGATTACTTTTCTGATTAAGATTACATTAATCTAACACTATGATTATTATTGATTACAATTATTAATCATTAATCAGATTACATTTTGCCCAACACTGCCGAAGGATAGCCGCTTGATAAAAAAATTATTTGACAGTTAGTTAAAAAGGCAGAACCCCATGTTAAGACGTCTTAAAATACTTAAGCAACACTTGTGGTTATAAATTAGAAAATAATTAAATATTTAAATATAAACCCCTAACCACAAAAATAATTCTCTATGGTTTGTATGCTTTTACTGAAACGTCCAAAAAATTGTTAGTTGGGCCTAATAAATCGTAATATTATAATTCGTCGAACACGAATTTACCAATAATTGGTATTTTGAAACTCTTCTTGGGAGATGTTATTTTTAATGCTCATTAGATTAACCAATATTGATTAATATGTTTTTGGTGCTTTGAGGTTGCCAGGTTGTCTTATTCGGTATCATTTTTAAAATTACTTTTGGGGGTTAAGGGTGTTGTTTGTTATCAATCAAAAAATAAACCATTTTTCGCCTACAGTTAACCGATTATGAATTTCAAAAACATAATTTAAAAATTACGGACTTAATTAATTAAAATTACAATTAATAATTGCAAACCTTGATTTAGCTGGGGACAGTTAAGATTACACTTTACGGTGTAAAGGCCTAGTTAGACAGCTTACATAATTTATGGTGTACGCAGTACGGTAATGTTTCTCAACGATTTTCACGGTCGGCAAGTATTAAATTATACAGGAGATGGCAAAGGGGTGAAAAGAACCTTACACAATCGACCTGTTGTTGTTGTTGAATTGCCTAAACAAAATGCCCTGAAAAGGGTGCAGTGGCCCGTTAAGGGTTGTCGTGGTCTTGTAGAAGTCAATAGAATATTTCAACAAAAAAAAACAATAATAATAATGTGAAAACGGGTTTGGATCCCTAAAAATCTTCGACTTAATCGGCCACGGCACAGAACGTCCCGATTTTTTTTATTATTTTAGTATTTAATAAGTGCGCCCGCAATGGAAATAGTGTTACACGGAACGATGCGAACAATGAAACTACCATATTATAATCATTATAACGATACGCTGTGTATAATAATAGCAGCTACGGTACCTATACCAGCTAGTAGTAGATGGGAAATAATTGGTCCAAATTATAATACACGTCTCGTGCGATAATTACACAGTACCCTTTTGGCTAGCTGAAAAAAAAATAATGCTCCTTCGACGGAATCTCACGGACCAAGGCGTTGGTAACATATTTTTTTTTTTTAAAAGAACATGGTGAAAAGAAAAACGTTCAATGTAAAAAAAACAATCTGACAATTGCAACGACCACACGACGAAAAACCGATAACGTACGTGTCGTCCAGCAATTGTACAATTATTGTGTTTCGGTCGATTCATTTTATTTTTTTCCCCGCCTGACCGATGCAATGATTGTTTACTTCTTCACAATGGCATCATCTGCGAGGACTATTCAAGGAAACAATTGCACGTTGTACAGTCGTATGAACGCTTTGGAACGTCCATACCGGGCACCACCGACCAACGGAATTCGAAGAGGAAGAGAGGTACCTAAGACTTTAAATTATTAATTCGAATTTGTTCAATTCAAGACTTAGGAGGCAATGTCCATTTGTATGTAGAAAAAAATTGGTTTTTCGTGGAAAATAATTATCTACATTTTGGTGAAACAAACGGGAAAATTAGACTATTATTACTTACAAAGATAATACCATAACTTTTTTCCACCGCCAATGGTAGTAAATTGGATAAATAATTTCGTTCTGAACAATTTTAAAAATTGACATGTCTGGTTGTTGCCCCCGAACACTTAAATTGCACTGTTATGTGTGTGTGTGTGAATGTGGTATCGCCAAAAAGAAAAATCCGACCCGAAGGATCAAAATATGTGTAACGGTTTTTAGATACAAAGATCCGAGTGGAAAGTATTATGTCATTCAGGGATTCCTGTACTTGATCAGATGCGGATCCGGTATAGCCAAGGTCTTCTTATCTAAAGTGTCCTTAGTCATATTATCCTTTCTAGGTCTTAGGTTAAATATTGCTACTGCAAAACTTAGCGTCAACTAGTTTTGTCTGTATTAGTTTGTAAGCTATGACTTTCTGTGTCAAGTAATTAATTAATTAATTATCTAGTGCTTAAGTGTATTTTGTGCAATCTGACGTTATGACAAGGGTTTCAATTGAATTTTTTTTCAAAAATTGTAACTATGACAATGAGATGTAGTAAAGTAGAATAATAAGAGCTCGGGTAATGTATGTTTCATATAAAAATACATATCATCTTGGTCTGGTATGTTAGCGCAGACAACACAACTTCTTCTAACAATGTTTACATGTTTTAAATTGTAGACATTGAATCTAATAGTTATTAAATTTCATTCATGGCGACGAAGTAAATTGTAAGTTCCACATTCTACATAGAATGTTTTATCACCTTTAAAACAAAACTGGTTTTCTACCGTTTTCTTCAATACATACTAGGTACAATACCTACGTTATTTCTTAGTACTCGGTGTAGCCACTGTGTACAGTGTAGAAAATTGTTGTATATTTTGCCTTTATATTTGTATTGTGACGGACTATAACAGCTGTTGTAGCCTGTAGGCAGAAATTTATAGTATTTAAGATAACATATTATTATGTAATTTATAGCCAACGGTCTGAGTAACTGAGGCTTTTTATCAACAAAAATAAAATACCAAAAAAACTTGGTATTTGGCGGTCATTGATTTGAACGCCTAATTAAACGTCAACGACGACCATAAATTATAATTTACAATTATTCTTGCCTTTTGCCGCCCGGAGTCATTACTCGTATAAATGCAGCTACATGTATAGGAAAAACATATTATATTAATTACAGAGATCATTAGGTTTTTACCGGTTCAAATTGTTGTTGCACTTTGAAACAAGCTAGTTCTTCGGGTATGAAAAAAAAATTACCGTTGTGACTAAAACACTTTCTGTGACAGACGAGCATTACAAAAAAAAAAATGGTGACCTATTTACATTTTCAGCATTGGAACCCAATTATCGTAGCACGTATTACCTGTTAACTTCCCGTGACTCCGTCCGACCGGGCCGATCCAATTTACATTATTGTAGTTTGAGCTAACAAAAACTATTGTGTCTATTGATCTATTAGTTACAGACAAAAAGTTCATCGATATTTCACTGGACTATTAAATTATTTTCAATCAAGTACGTTTTTCCTCAATGCGTTCACTCCGTTTCAAGTCAAAGTGTAAGACGACCGCAAA